TGAAAGGTGCCGACTTTTCTAACACCATCCAGTTTCATTACTGGCTTCAGGAGACTGTGTATCTTTGCTGCTTAGAGGGAGTGCATCATGGCCGTGCTAGGCTAAGAGTGGTTTTATATGGTGTGGAAAGGACTACGGCTTAGCCATCACATTGCGTACGTCTGCTACGCATGAGTCCCAATTTAAATAAACAGAAATACTGCTTCTGTGCATGTTGAAGGAGTGTGGACCGGCTCCGTTGATGGGACATTAATCCCATCCACATACCTCCCGGTCCAACTATTTGAGATTTACACTGGATAGTGGGTGTGTGGATGGAGCCTTGGGTGGTGCAGCGCAAGCCATACTTGGTACCACTCTAGACGCAGGCGTCCTGTAACTGTACCCATGGAGGCCCCAATGACAGACAAATCCAGAACCGGATGCAGATAAACATTATATATATATATATATATATATATATATATATATATATATATATATATATGTGGCGGAGAGCCTATGGTGCGCTGAGGCTGGTGGTGGCTAGATCCTGACAGATGGTCTACCCACTGCTGCTAACGCTGCGCCATTGGCTCAAGTCCTGGTTACCTCCTCGTGGCGACCGCTGAGTGAGAGTGGGGTTACGCCCTTCTCCCTGATAAGATCCAGGACACCAATCCGCATGAGTCAGTGAACTGACCATGTGCTAGACACGCTGCCTTTCGGGTGTACATGAAATCCAAGGCTTTGGCTGAGGACCCGAGTCGTTCTCCTGTCAGGTGTGGACGCCCTGCCAGTATCCTAGTCATCCTCTTCGGAGGTTAGGAAGTGGTCGATGGCCCTCTTCCCGTAAAACCTAGCCATGGGAGACAACAGGTCCACGGGTGATAAGCACACAGCTCGATTGGAGTAGAGCACGAGCGCCACGCATGTCTCTGACGGTGGGAGGACACCTCCGGGTGTTCAATAGTCTGTTACTGCACGCCTCAAGCCAGGAAGAGTCTGGTCAAATTGGTGCAAATCCGCCAAAACCCACATGCGTCTCGCCGTGGTCGCAGGTGCGTACCCCACTACGGTCAGAAAACATATATAAATCGTTCCAGTACCTCAAAGGCCGCGTGTGACGGCCGTCAAGCAAATCCCGATCTGTCTCTGCAATCACCTTCCCGAGCTGGATCTTCTCCCCACTGCCTTGTGGCTCAGGTTATTGAGCCAAAGGCTCCGGACGGAGTCCCTCAAGCAAACCTCCAAACCACGCATAGCATTGTGGGTCAGGCTATTGAGCGAAAGGCTCGGGCAGAGTTCCTCAAACAAACCCCCGAAGCACAACGACCACCTCGCGTGCGATTGCCCACCAATGCAATCGTATGCCTGCGCGCAAAGCAATCAGCATCGGGTGCTGGAACATGCGCACACTACTGGACCGGAACTCCAGTGAGCGCCCGGAGCGACGCACTGCACTCGTCGCGATGGAGCTGGTGCGTTACCACATCGATATTGTGGCCCTCAGTGAAACTCGGCTCGCTGAGCAAGGTGAAGACTGCACGACTGTGTGAAGTGGACTGCATAGTAGCCAGAGTGGGCGACCTGTGGCACCACAATCGCGACCAGGTGACAGCTGCTGCCAAGGAGACCATCGGGCGCGCAAACTGTAAGCGGCCTGATTGAATTGATGACAACAATGCGACGATCGGCGTATTGGTGTCGGGGAAGAATGTAGCATTTGCTGCACATGTGGCAGACCCCAGTGACTTGGGGAAGAATAGTCAGTTTCGCAAACTTTGACAGCGACTGACCCGAGAGCTCCGTCGCATTAAAAATGCATGGTGGACGGAGAAGGTGAAACAGATAGAATGCTATGCCGTACGCCGCCAACACAAGGAATTCTTTGACTCCTTGAAGGCGGTGTATGGATCGAGATTGGAGCCGGCGAGGACGCTGATCGATGGTAGTTCAGGCGCCACCTGCACATAGACTGCAGACATAATGCACACCTGGAAAAACACTTTAACTGTGTCTTGAACAACCGTTCAGAGATCGACTGGCCTAATTTGAAACGCCTGATCCAACACAATGTGAAGACAGTCTGGCGGACACGCCGAGACTGGATGAGAAGCAGAGAGCACTTGCTCAACTGCGAAACAGCAAGTATGCTGGAGCCGATAGAATCCCACCTGAATTGTTGAAACACGGCGGACCTGCGTTGGTGACGGCGTTGTACCACTTGGTACAACGCGCATGGATTGAGGAGGAGGTGACTATTGAGCTGAAGGATGCCCTTGTGCTACCACAGTACAAGGACAAAGGCAGCAAGCAATGTTGCACGAATTATCGTGGCATCAACTTGCTGAGTTTTGTGGACAAGGGGATTGCCCGAATAGTCCTCAACCGCCTCGTCAGTCAGATTGTGGAATCTAACGTGGCGGAAGAGCAATGTGGATTCCGTTCGGGTCGCAGCACTATAAATATGGGGTTTGCGGCTCGTCAGTTGCAGGAGAAGTGCAGAGAACCACACCAGCCGTTGCACTCGCTTTTTGTTGGTTTCACCAAGGCATTTGATACGGTGAACCGCGAGGCATTGCGGCTGGTGTTGGGTAAGTTTGGTGGCCCGCGTAAGTTTGTTATTTTAATTGAACGTCTGCACAGTGGTATGCGAGCAAGGGTACAGCTGAGTGGACAGACCTCGGATGACTTTACAGTTATCTCTGGTGTGAAGCAAAGCTGCGTTTTAGCTCCTGCCCTGTTTAATATCTATCTTCATGCAATGTTGTCCTGCGCTTTTGATGCCGCTTGTGCTTACGGTGTTCGTGTGGAGCACCGTATTGATGGTGGGTTGCTGAACATCCGTCGTTTCGGTGCGAAAACCCTTGTCTTCGAGACAACTATCCGTACGTTGCTGTTTCCTGACGACTGTGCGTTGGTTGCACACAGCGCGGATGAGTTGCAGCACATGACTAGTGCTCTCGCTTCCACAACGGCCAAATTCGGACGCACCATCAACACAAACAAAACCGCCTGTCTCTTTCGGCCTTCGCCGGAGATACAATCTTCAATATTGCCGCGAATCAGCATTGGTGCTGAAGTATTGGAAACCACCTCCCGATGCTGCTACCTTGGGAGTGTGATGTCGACTGATCAGCAGATACACAGTGAGCTGCGTATCCGCGTCTCGAAGGCAGCGGCGGAATTCGAGAAGCTAGAGTACCGAGTGTGGAACAACCATCAGCTTACCATTGGCACGAAGCTGATGGTGTACAAAGCAATGGTGCGTCTGTTCCATTTTTACGGCAGTGAAACGTGGACGATGTACCGGCGGGATGTGCGATATCTCGAGCGGTTCCATCAACAGTGTTTGCGACGGATTCTGCGCATCGGATGAGGCGACAAAGTTGCGGACACGGAAGTGTTGAGCCGAAGTGGAAAGTACGCAGTGGACTGCATACTTTTGCTGAGACACCTGAGGTGGCTCGGTCATGTGAGCCGTATGGATTCGACGCGGATACCGAAACAACTCTTATATGGTCAGCTGAGTATTGGGAAGTGGCATGTGCGGAAACCAAACTTACGTTACCAGGACATGATCAAAGTGAGCCTCACACGTTCTAATCTTGACTGCAGGTCATGGGAATCGAAAGCGGTTGATCGACGTGCATGGCGCGATCTAATCACGAAGGCAGTTGCCTAAGTGTGGGAGAAAGACCTCATACATGCAGAGAAGAAGCGGCAAGCACGGATAGGTTGTACTCCATCGGAATCGAGCGCATGGTGCTGAAGCACATGCGGTCGCGAGTGCCTGAGCGCCTGAGCAAGGCCACTCGCGACCACTACGGATGCGCCGACGGGTCCTGCAGAGAACGTAGACAGAACCGGCGCAGCGTTTGTAGGTACGCTGCATTCGATTTACTAACCGCGTGCTTGCATGCTAAGTCTATTTATTGAAGGTGACGGGTTTTCAATTTTGTGCTAATGCTTTTCTTTCTCATATAAATGTCTACCAATACTCACGTCTATAAAGTTGCACACGTCACTTAAGCCAATTGTAGTTAATCTCGATAACATTTTCGCATTTGTGGCATTTCCGTAAAATATACCCTCCGACCTCGTGAACTTATCTCGGATTGCTTTGTAAACAACTTATTTCATATGCTCATTAATTTAAGATTTATGTCACTGTTTCCTTATGCATTACTCCATTTATTTTATTTGTTATCTTTCTCTTAAGTGATTGGCTGTTGCTTGATATCCCCGGTGTGGCTGCGCTTCATGTGCATGTTAACAAGGTACCTACCTGCCTATTACCCACTACCTCGTCCATACTGGCTCCAGGAGACAGTTGGTCGTTGCTGGAGGGGACGGAATGCACGGTCCTTGTGGCCGTGTTAGGATCAAAGAGTAGTTCCATGCACCCAGTGTGGAGCGGACTACGGTCCAGCCACCGCCTTATGTGCGGTTGATTCCCCAAATACAGCCTGCTTGTGTTTGCCTGTGAAGGAGTGTGGGCCGGCTCCGTTGATGAAACATGGCTCCCATCCACATGCCTCCCGGTCTTATTCCTTCGGGTTCACGCTGGATATGGGATGTGTGGTTGGAGCTGTGGGCGGTGCATCGCAAGCCATCCATGGTCCTTCTGTAGGCGCAGGCGTCCTGTGTCTGGCCACAGTGAGAGGCAAATCCGAAACCGGGTGCCGCCAACCATATATATAACTTTTACTATACTATATATATGGCATGAGTGTGAAATGAAGCGGATGAGTGTGTTTGTCACGGCTGCTTGCAAGTAGGATAACAGCGTGAATGCTGCATCCGCTGCATCGGGAACTTGTTGATCGTTGCGGCATGTGTACAATGATATGCATGGCTACAAAGTGTCGCTTTTAGAACGCGAGATTGTCTGGGTAAGAAAAAGCTGGAAGTGCCTGTGAACAAAGGACATAAGTTATTCAGGGAATGGTGCAACAGTGTAAGAACTAATGACGGAACTATTCATTTTATTAAGGTTAGCGGCAGGAAAGACTTACTTCAGTAAACAGTCGCTCACATAGGGATGCATGTTCGTCACACGAGCAGAGAGATTCGCCAAGGATGCCAGAAGATTTACGTAGAGGTATTTATCCTTGCAAAGTGGTCAATGTGCATGGGGAACAGTTCCGAAAAGGGAGATGCGTGGATAAAAATTAAAACCAAACATGTAATACTGCGACAAAAATTAGACGACGAGAATGAACTGTATAAGCACCTAAATCTCAATCGTTAAGGTGAAAAATTAAACTTAACAGAAGACTAAAAAGTACAAGCATTTTAATAGATGATCCTGCGATAACGTGGTAAAGTGACAATGACCCAACAAGCGACGATGAATACGAAAAGAACCGTACATGTCCGACGGCTAAACAAAGAAAACTCGGGGAACAGTGATCCGGTTCTGGTTCACAGTAACAAGAGAGCGGAAACAAAGGTGAACCGGTTGAATGCTCCAAAGAATTTGCTTATACCAAAAGTGCACAAAGGTTGAATCATGTTGAGTAGTTGATGACCCCTGATAAAAATAGTAGTGTGAGGTAGCCAAACCCTAAGTGGTAAAATGCAGCATGTCATCATCATCATTATATACGTTAGCTGCAGATGGAAAACACCTTAGCTATTGTGCCACAATGCTAAAGACAAGAAGAAGAAAAGTACAACAGTGGCACGCCGGCTGAGTCCCCAGTAACGGATGGACATCGTTCCAGAGAGCTAACAGCCTAGCGAATGAAATCGTGATTGGAGGGAGAGGCTAAGCAGGAGGGGTGTGGACAAAGGAACGCACAACACAAACGCCATTAGGGCCGGCTCCTAGCCATATCTGAAAGTGTATCCAACCAAACGTGTGCACCGTCCTTAGGACCCCAACCAGGCAGTCGGGATGCACCAACCGACGCCAACCTCGAAGTAAGGGTTTTCATTACTCTCGACCAAGTCATTACTTGGCCTCCCCTCCTCCTCTTCCAACTGCACCCACAACGCGCAAACAATGCACGTCGAGCGGGAGTCGGTGTGCTGGCATGCGCAACACGTGGCCCAGCCATCGGAGCCTGGTGCGTGATATAATGGTGCTGAGTAGTTCACTCGCTCTTACTGTACCAAATACGCGAAGCCGAACACGCTCATTGCTCACGTGGTGCTCCCATCAGATATGAGCCAAGCTGCGAAGGCAGCGAGGATCGAATGTGATGAGCCTCTTCATGTCTGTCGACCTAATGGGCCAGATTTCACAACCGTACAGGAGGGTTAAACGGACGGCTGCGTTTTAAACTCTGCCCTTCAGGGCGAGAGTAATGTCCCGTCTGCGCTACAGGTGGCGGAGAATGTCAAAAGCCGCATGTAGTAGGAATCGACTCGGTAGGAAGTTAGTACAAGTGGGAAAGAGCCGAGAAGAAGTGTATCAAGTCTTCGGAGGATCGAGATTGAAATACAGTGGGTAATTGCCATCAAAGTTTGCACGATCTAACATAAAGCAACGACAACACCAGCAACGGCAAATCTTGACGTTAGGCCAGTGCCTTACCATGAAACCACAAGTCATACTAATGATAATTAAGAGCACGAGAGTAGAGCAAATGTAATTATTAACCTAAGAGAAATGTGCTACTCTTGTACCAGCGAAAAAAGCGACAGGGACAAATAAATCCTAGGAGAGCGGTTCAGAGTTTGATTCTTAAGACCAGATTAACAAATGCCCTGCCAAAGCGTGACATCGCTCTGGAACTGCTATGTAAACATCAGTAGGTTGTGGGTGCATATAAGTGGCAGGTGCCTGGATGAATGCGGCACTTTCATTATAATTGCTGGCTCCGTGGGACTAACATATGCACCGCCTAACAGTACTCACTTCTACTTCTCACGGTCGCCGACATCCCGATACCGCTCGACGCAACCAATTCTCTGTAGGTACAGTGAAGGACCTTAGAGCGCCTCAGAAACTCAGACTGAAGGGACTACACCTCACTGCGGTAGAGAACAGCCTTCGTTATGGGTTAAGAATGCTGTTCTTCCAGTATCAAAAGACTGTGTCGAACAAGGAATTCAGGATAAAAATTTTTGCCATTACACGAATACAATACTTGCACCCTGACACACAGCAAGAGAACATTGCATGATGGTTATCCAAGGAAAAATGTAAAAACATAAAGGAAAATCCATTATTTTAGCAATTAATCGATTATCTTCGATCGCGCATTGATTTCGAAGATTCCGGAACCTTTTATTCCTTCACGTGATCGCCAGCATATGGAGTTTTGGCTAGGAGGCTACTAATTTTACCAGTTGACCATCGTTTTCTAGAAGCCGAAGGTCATTGAGCCCCCTACATATTTGACGTAGGCCTGGCGTTGTTGTACAGCATTTTGATTACGTTAGTAGCGTTTTTGTTAACACGTTTTTCGTGGTTAAGGTCGTTGGAAATTTGATTTTCTTTTCGGCTAAGCTAGAATTTTGCTGGAGAAATTTTTGGGTGTTTAATTCGGAATAGCGAGAAAAAGTGGAGATCTAACAATGGTGTCGACCGTACAATGAAATAGAAATGAGGAAATACAACAACACTAGTGGCCGCCACTTGGTTCCGTGAAGTCAGGCAAGAATTATGCGTATACGCTGACACAGATTGCGGTATCCCGATACAGGCCAAGTAGTGTCCACTTATTTCATAGGGGACAATTTCCAGGCAAGCATCGACCAGAACGCAGTGGTCGACCGATATAAATGCACTTGGGAAGTCGAGGAGAGCAAATGCAGTCTACCTGTGACACGTGCGGATTCCCCAGTACCAGCAGAAGAGTAGAAGTAGGATATATATCTACATTCACTGTCTATTCCGCTCTCGTCCATGACTCCAGTTTCACAGGGAGGCAGAGGAGACCAATAAGGTCGATCCTACCGGCGGCAAACTGATGCCTAGAAACTTAGAGGCATTGTCCCAAGCCTCAAGCTTTAAGGCAATACGGTGGTGACAAAGCAAAAGTCCACAATATAAGTCACTTCAAATTAATGTGTCCCTGTAATTCCATCCTAAAGTTGGAGGACCATGCGAATGAATGTGGAGGTTGCTCTTATGTTGCTCGAGGTATGTGTTTCGTATAGCTCTGTGGATTAATGCATAAAGCAAAGCAGTTAACTACACTCAGTCCGATCTCGTTGCGTTTTATCGTACTGAATTTTCACTTTATGGCGGCCTTCGTGGTGGCTTGTTTGAGAATAAGTTTGCAACCACCGCTAAGCAAACGCCGCAATTACTGGGTCCACCATAGTAACTACCGGAAATTCCCTCAACGGAAGAAAAAGGCATTTGGCAAACGCAACAGAAAATGGTGCTAAAATGACAAATACAACTGGTGTACAGAGAGGTGCGCGTTTCTTCTGCTGCTGCTGATGATGATGATGATGAGCGGTATAAAGCGTTAAGAGATCTTACCTTCAAATGGTTCAGGTGAAGTCGTATAGTTCGGAACAGAACCAACAAGACAAGACTGCCGTAGGAGATCGAAGACAACTGGCGATTCGAAGACCATTTGACCCAGCTGATTGTCTACAATTAATGCGGGCAGTATAAGCGAGATGTGAAATAAGACTAAGGCGAATGGGTAGGACAGTAAACTCATCAAATGGTCAGATGAAAGTGTTGACAAGCGCGCCGTATGAACTAGTGAATACAAAGGAAGAAACCGTTTAAAACCTCGTAAGTAGAAAAATCAGGTGTAAGAGTATGGAGAGCCAAGGAGGCAAGAGAAGATAAACGTCCGGTGAAGAAAAAGTACATATGTTCATTATCAAAACTGTCGACCGGTTTTCGAATAACGCGCTGAAGAGAGGTAGAGGGCCGATCTATGGAAACTGGACGGTTGGCTGGAGGATTTTAGGGACTCGATCACAGATCACATGCCACAAGCCATAAGCGTGTTTAAAAATGTCGGAAGTTGTAACTTGTGCCATATAGTTACGTACAAATATGTAAGCGATCGCACAATGGGGAACGGGAACAACAAGCACTCAAAAATTAAAAACCCAAGAAGGATCTAAATGAAGCGCCAGCACATCTGTAGCGCACTAGCAACAGTTAATGGTAAAATCTGGTCATAAGCGAAGATGTCGGCCAGCCACACCACTTTGTAGTGGTGAAAGGACGGGTTGACTAAACGATCAAATTATATCTAACAAACTGTAAGCACCGACAGGTGAGACAGTATTTTAAGAATGAGATGGTAATTAGCTAGTGTTAAAAGAATCAGAAAACGTGGCCTTATAACAATAGTGTCAGGTGCACAGAAATGACTAATGGCCAAATTGGTAAACGGGTGCAAGAATGCACCCAGACTGAAACGAGTATTCGGCTCGGATATGCCTTCCAAATCAATACAGGCTGTTTACCGTTGTCCTTGCCACAGGCATTGAGCCATGTGTGGTGTCCCAAGCAGCGGTAAGTAAAGAAGAATCAACTAGCGGAAACCAACAGTAAAGTGGAATAACAAGTGGCTACATCATTGACTAAACGACAGACTAAGGTTAGTCAGTGGCCCGAAATAACCCGACCAATACAAACAAAAATAAGTTTGCTGGGCACATGCCGATGTCATAAACATACACCTTCTACCGCGCGCATTGAGGAAGCTGATTTTACTAGATAAGAGCTTACTACAGGGGGTGAATAACGACAGAGAACGCTAGCATGGCGAATCCGCCATCTTGCGAACCGATGCAGTGTAAACTTACTGTGGTGTGTATTTCCTCGGCAAATCGGGGGTGTTCCGTCAAAATAAGTAGGATAATAAGCGCCATGTAGACCAGATGAGAACTATCCGCAGGAGACCGATAGAGAATATTCAATAAGGGCAACAACTGAAGACAAAAATGAGGAACATATGTGGAAGTAAAACGGTGGAAAAAGCAAAAGACGTGCGACAGTACGTTAACTAGGATGACCGATGTAAAAAGTAGCCTATGAAGATGTCAAATTAACAAGGCGATTACAAAGTAATATCAACACAGAAGAGATATTCCAAGCACTTATGCATATTAGGTGGGAGAAAGATATGAAGAAACAACAGCGTACGGGAAGTAGACAAATAAGTAAATCAGATGAGCAAGCATACGTGTCCGAATTATCCACGAGGAAATTGGTCTAGCTACACTGACAACCAAGTTCATCAAATGAAAACATTAGGCAAATGAAAGCGGTCTACCTAATTCTGCCAAACCCGTTGAGTGACAGGAATGCTATCAGATATTAGTCGTTCAACAATGACAGCATAGTAAATCGTGAATCGGCTATGCCTAGAACGAAGTGTTACCCAAGTCGAAGGGACACCTCAGTGGGCATCGTTTGCTTCCACTGCCAACTGTCGTTAAATCACACTTGAAAACAGATTCCCATTGTATTGTCACTGGAAGGGATGCGATGACAAGGATCACATGTGAATAGAATTTACTTTAATTACACAATCAAAGTGGCTCAGTGGGCACTCCGAACAACAGCACCTGCCTCTGGGCAGCAAAATATTGCGAAAATCCGCGATGAGGACTGTGTGGTGTTGCATGAAACTCACTGCACTGCAGCCACCCAAATAGCAAAACATTGGGTTGGGTTAGCAACATCGGAGTTCAGTGGCCGTAACCCAGTTAAGATGATAACCAAAAGCAAGTCACTTTTCAGTAGAATGCGGCGCTGGATGGGAGAAAAATAATGAGGAATTTGAAAATTCGTTCCAAGCAATAGTCAAGTTGCTTTCGACAAAAATATCACAATCGCCAAGGAACGAAAATTGGGTGACGCATTTCATTTTCGCAAATATGAATGTGGCGGTAATACCTCAATGTAAGACAGCATGAAAACAAAAACCAGAGTCAATGAAAGGACAGGTCCCGCTTTCACAAAGACAGGAATAACTTCACTGTTGAAGTAAGGGTGAGACTAGAGCCAAGCGTGCACAAACTTCCGGGCACAATGGTCGTTTGCTGGATGACGGCAATGCTGTCAGGCCATGAAGCGTAACGCAAACACAGGAGGAAACGGAAAATGTAGCGCTTCTTACGTGAGTGACAAATAGGAAATACTACAGTGATGTGACATAGCGAAGATCAAGATCTGAGTGGTCATGGTCAAGATGTTCCGAGTTTTTTTCAGAGTGGATCACTGTGGTCAGGGTGAACAGTTGTCCAGCAGTAGTCGGCTATATTATTCACTGCCATTAGGATGCAGGGCATGGCAATCGGATCCACCTAACATGCATGGGAGTAATCAGTGCATTGAAAAGCTTATCAATAACGATCGTCGCATAATTTATCGTGAAGCTGCAGGTGTGCTTAATCATTGACATATAAAGACAAATTGATGTTTGCAATGAGTTGTGATAGACAGTCATGGCATGTAAGGATCGCATCGTCGCATCCCCTTTGTTGGCGCCGAGTTCCACCTGTTTGGATCATAAAATAATTCCTCTAATGTCGACATCACCACAGCGATGACGATGTGGAGCAAATCGCTCAAACTAGTTCAGATGCAATTACAAACTTTGCTATGATAAAGCCTTTTATGTATGAATAAAACGCTGGAATAAGTGTATGGCAGGCGTATGAACTGAGCAATCAGTCACCGGCTCCCAATGGGCGCGACTCTCTGAATTCGCTCCGCTGCCTTGCAGGCAGGCTATTCAGTCTGCGCGCAAAGCACGCAACACCGGATGCTGGAACTTGCGCACACTACTGGACCGGAACTCAAGTGAGCGCTCCGAGCGAGGCCACTGCACTGGTCGCGATGGAACTGGCGCGCTACAACATCGGCATTGCGGTGCTCGGTGAGAACCGGCTCTCTGAGAAAGGTAAGTGGCATGAAGCTAGTGCTGGCTATACGCCCTACTGGGTGGAAAACGCCGCCTCGGCACCACGTAAACGTGGGGTCAGATTTGCACTATTCGATCACCTAAATGACCAGCTGATGAGTGAGCCCACTGGCATCAGCGCGCCGCTGATGACTGCTTGTCTACGATTCGGAAGAGGTGTGTGAACAGAAGTGGGGGTAATCGAATATTTGTTCTCGATAATTCATTTTCAGGCTTATACAAGTACATGTAAATTATAATGTGCAAACAGACATTAAAAGTTGATACTCCTAGAGCGAGTTAATGGAGGCTGACTGCTGTCTGTCAAGTCACGACAATTGACCGCGTGTGACCTCATGGGACAGAGGTCACCGGCCGTTTCGCTCAGGTTAGTCCCAAGCATTGAAATAGCTTCTTCTGTACACAGCTCCGGCTCATACAGCGAGATCGCAATTGCATCAGCGGCTCCTAGTAGTCGCTTTCGGACGTAGTTAGAACGTTTTTTGGGGGCCTAATAGATAAGTTTGAACGAACCAGTGAAATTTGTGGCGTGCCCTGTATCGGCTAGATGCGCGGTTATTGAAGAGTTGTCTGTCTTTCCGCTTCCAGTTCTAAGCCCGACCATGTGGTATTCATTCATTTCCTCAGATAGACGCCGTGTCGTACGACCAATGTATTCCGCTCCACAGGAGAATGAAAATGAGTAGATACACATTGACTTGGTGGGGACAGGCTTCTTATCCTTTGAGTTTAGTCCCACCATCATAATGCTAGTAAAGTGGATTTGCATCTGCGCTGCTTGATAGGTGCGTCCGAGTGTAAACGAAAGACGAGATAGAAGTTCCATCGCAACCTCGACCTTGTATGGCAACTATAGGAAGATCGGCCTACGTTCTAGTGTCAAAACTACAGGCTGTTTCTTCTTACGTTCAATGTTGGCTCTAATGTAGCTCTCCGGATAGCCATTCTCCCTTAGCACTAAGTGAATGCACTCCAATTCCTTCGGAAGCGTGTCGTTCGAGCACATACGTTCCGCTCGGCTCAGCAGGATATTTATCAATTTCCGTTTAAATCTAAGTGGCACCAAGCTGTGGAAGTTTGTGTACTGCTCATTCCACGTACTTTTCCTATAGACGCAAACCTGTAGCGCACCCCATCAAGTATACTCATGGCGACATAGAGGAAATGAAAGCGACTGTTATCCTCAACTTCGTAGGTGAACTTTATTGCTAGATGGCCTAGGTTGGACATGTTTGTTAGTTCCTCGATACGTCGAGACGATAGAAGCTAGACCACAATGTCGTCTATGTAACGGCAATGTAAACCGAGACTTGAGATCGCTGGCTTTAGCTTTCCCTGTTAAAGTATGCCCATGAGGACTTTGTCGAGGAATGGACCCAGTGGGGACCCCATGCGACCCCATGGCACTATCGGTAAAATTCGCCATTGAATAAAAACTGAACATTGAACGTGCATCTGAGCAATAGTTCCTTTAGAATCCCCGTGCATATGCCAACATTCAGGTGGTTTGCAGCAACATACTCACAAATGTTGGTTATACTCTCAACTAACGGTACGTTGGTGAAGAGTGAAGTAACATCGAGGGGGCACGTGGTTAGTCTGGTAACATTTATATCACGTACGATATGCACGAACTCGAAACTGTCCCTCACACTACGCAGAACAATTCGCTCTCGAATAGGCCTAAGAATCAAAATCAGTCATCGATCAATCGAGTAATATGGAGTGTGTCATTTCCAAGACGGGCCGAAAAGGGACGTTACGCTTGAGTTTTTGGTAACCCATATAGCCTTGGAATAACCGTTCCTACTGGCCGAAGTTGTTCATAAGTGGCTTCGTTGATGCAACCATCCTATCGAAGCCCTTTAAGACCGTTGCAAAGTTGAGTTTCAATCTGCTTTGTTTTGTCTTTCTCACCTATGGCCCTCAGAAACTTGCTCTCATCTGCCAGTATTTCTTTCATTTTGCTCCCGTAGTCCACCCTGTTCACGATAACAATGAACGCGCGCATATCTGGCCGAGACCTCATCAATGCTAACCAGAAGGATAAGAGATTCAAGGTTTTCTTGTTTTACCGGAGTGGTTTGTGTTGGGTAAGTTTGGTTGCCCGCGCAAGTCTAATAGAATGTCTGCACAGTGGTATACGAGCAAGAGTACAGCTGAGTGGACAGACCTCGGATGACTTTACAGTTATCTCTGGTGTGATGCAAGGCTGTATCTTAGCTCCTGCCCTGTTTAATATCTATCTTCATGCAATGTTGTCCTGCGCTTTTGATGCCGCTTGTGCTTACGGTGTTCGTGTGGAGCACCGTATTGATGGTGGGTTGCTGAACATCCGTCGTTTCGGTGCGAAAACCCTTGTCTTCGAGACAACTATCCGTACGTTGCTGTTTCCTGACGACTGTGCGTTGGTTGCACACAGCGCGGATGAGTTGCAGCACATGACTAGTGCTCTCGCTTCCACAACGGCCAAATTCGGACGCACCATCAACACAAACAAAACCGCCTGTCTCTTTCATCCTTCACCGGAGGTGCAATCTTCAATATTGCCGCAAATCAGCATTGGTGCTGAAGTATTGGAAACCACCTCCCGATGCTGCTACCTTGGGAGTGATGTCGACTGATCAGCAGATACACAGTGAGCTGCGTATCCGCGTCTCGAAGGCAGCGGCAGCATTCGGGAAGCCTGAGTACCGAGTGTGGAACAACGATCAGCTTATCATTGGCACGAAGCTGATGGTGTACAAATCCATGGTGCTGTCCGTGCTTCTATACGGCAGTGAAACGTGGACGATGTACCGGCGGGATGTGCGATATCTCGAGTGGTTCCATCAACAGTGTTTACGACGGATTTTGCGCATCGGATGAGGCGACAAAGTTGCGGACACGGAAGTGTTGAGCCGAAGTGGAAAGTACGCAGTGGACTGCATACTTTTTATGTGAAACCTGAGGTGGCTGGGTCATGTGAACCGTATGGATTCGACGCGGATACCGAAACAACTCTTATATGGTCAGCTGAGTATTGGGATGCAGCATGTGGGGAAACTAGTTACGTTACCAGGACATGATCAAAGTGAGCCTCACACGTTCTAATCTTGACTGCAGGTCATGGGAATCGAAAGCGGTTGATCGACGTGCATGGCGCGATCTAATCACGAAGGCAGTTGCCTAAGTGTGGGAGAAAGACCTCATACATGCAGAGAAGAAGCGGCAAGCACGGATAGGTTGTACTCCATCGGAATCGAGCGCATGGTGCTGTAGCACATTCGGTGACGTGTTTTCAATTTTGCGATAATGCTTTTCTTTCTCATATAAATGTCTACCAATACTCACGTCTATAAAGTTGCACACGTCACTTAAGCCAATTGTAGTTAATCTCGATAACATTTTCGCATTTGTGGCATTTCCGTAAAATATACCCTCCGACCTCGTGAACTTATCTCGGATTGCTTTGTAAACAACTTATTTCATATGCTCATTAATTTAAGATTTATGTCACTGTTTCCTTATGCATTACTCCATTTATTTTATTTGTTATCTTTCTCTTAAGTGATTGGCTGTTGCTTGATATCCCCGGTGTGGCTGCGCTTCATGTGCATGTTAACAAGGTACCTACCTGTCTATTACCCACTACCTCGTCCATCTGGCTACAGGAGACAGTTGGTCGTTGCTGCAGGGGACGGAATGCACGGTCCTTGTGGCTGTGCTAGGCTCGAAGAGTGGTTCTATGCACTCAGTGTGGAGCGGACTACGGTCCAACCATCGCCTTGTGTGCGCTTGATTCCCCAAATACAGCGTGCTTGTGTTTGTCTGTGAAGGAGTGTGGGCCGGCTCCGTTGATGAAACATGGCTCCCATCCACATGCCTTCCGGTATTATTCCTACGGGATTACACTGGATATGGGATGTGTGGTTGGAGCTGTGGGCGGTGCAGCACAAGCCACACATGGCCCATCTGTATGCGAAGGCGTCCTGCGGCTGGTCACAGTGAGAGGCAAATCCGAAACCGGATGCCGCCAACCATATATATATATACGTACATGGTTGGTTGGCGGCATCCGGTTTCGGATTTGCCTCTCACTGTGGCCAGCCACAGGACGCCTGCGCCTACAGAGGGACCATGGATGGCTTGCGCTGCACCACCCACAGCTCCAACCACACATTCCATATCCAGTGTAAACCCGAAGGAATAACACCGGGAGACATGTGGATGGCAGCCACGTTGCATCAACGGAGCCGGCCTACACTCCTTCACAGACAAACACAAGCACGCTGTATTTGGGGAATCAAGCGCACACAAGGCGGTGGCTGGACCGTAGCCCGCTCCACACTGAGTGCATATATATATATATATATATATATATATATATATATATATATATATATATATATATATATATATATATATATATATATATATATATGTACCACAAGCTGTGGTACAGATCTAGTGCCATGGGAGTCATCGCGGAAAATGAAAACAGGATCGGAGTAAAAAGAAACAGGCAACATTTTCGACCAGTTTTCGACTCATAGTTTTGAGTTTTTTTTAGTTTGTTGCATAAGGGATGGAAAGGGGTTCACCACTATACTCAGTGATACATATTCTCCAATGATGTCGGTCTTGATCCATCACTTCCATGGTCGCCAACTGACGACACTTTGTATCTCTGGGATCGCAACCAAGTAGTAGAGAACTACCGACCGAGGCCAACTGTTTCGTCCCAAACCGAACAATTAGGCAGCACTACAAGCAAAGGGGTCCAGTGACACTTCAATTCGCCCCTTGCTAGTCACCATGACGGTATATGGGAAAGGATGATAAGGTCAGTGAGATGACTGTTGCTTTGTATATCAGGAGAACAGACACACAACAATGAAACACTGTCCACCTTTATTGCCTGAAGAGAAGCGCACTATTAACAGCAGGCTTCTCACGTTGTTGACAACGGACTTTCGTGATAAATCAGGTCTCAGATCAAACGAGTTGCTATTACTTCGACCAAATGGAGCAGGATTAGCGCCAGAAACACTTTGTAACCGATATAATCGATGTTGGACACCGACGAACTACTTGGGCACGCTATTTTGGGAAAGGTAGAACAAAGAATATCTCAACCTAATGTATAATGAACAAAAATGACGAATTGCGACGCAACGTCCCACCTGAGGATGTGGTCTTAGTCGTCTTGGATGCATTCAATAGTGACAGTTGACTTTTGGCAGTGATAGTTACACTGCACCAAAGACGGTTTAGTGAAAACTGTAATGGTTACGATGAATGGGGTGTTTAAGCGCAATGTCGGAAAGATCAGCCATATGGTAGGTAAGGAATGGGAGGATGGGTCAGTCCCGGTTGTTGGCTCTCCGCCTGTGAGAGATGGGTCTTCGAACCGCCGCCTCAGGGAGAGAACCACTGAGTACGACATTTCAACGTGGAGAGGTTCGGGTGTGCTGTGCTACTCCATAGCGGATGGAGCAGGTTAGGGTAAACCAGCAGTGATCGAAACGCTGAAGAGGAAATTTCCGTTCAGAATTCGGTCGGAGGTGTAGAAAAAGCCCGAATGCTCTATCTTGTGATAGGTTTGTCTTGCCCAATGATTCTCTCGCTGTGATTCCCACTACCATTATCAATCTATTTTCCTTTTCCCAAACCAAACATTATTTGCGCTGGCTCTCAATTCAGATTATGTGATCCGTGTTTGTTTGTACTTGAGAATTAGGCACATCGAACTCAGTCGCTCACACGTTGACCCAGTTCTATACTGCTGAACAAACTTCAGTATCACTTCACACAGTAACGCCCCATGCTACCGGTGGTTTGGAGTGATTCAATCTTCTCCATTTGAACATTGATATGTAGACTATGTCGCTGCACTGACGTGTCATGAGCGCGGCTCATGTTACCCTGCACATTACTGCAATGTTTAGGTAGGTGGAGGCAACACACAAGGAAACCACCTTGTTCGTACAGCTTACCGCTTTGTTTCATCTTACTATGTAAAATTGAAGCATTTACATAAGACCATCACTGTGTGCAACGCACAGATTGAATATCCACAGCGCAGAGCAGACACGCTTTGAGAAGGCGGTGTATAGAAATGTCGCTTGTTTGTTCTACATGTAAAGTGGAGCCATGGTTGTTGACCATTTTGAGTGAATTGATGGGTGTTGATTTGGACTTGCGCTAGAAGCACAGATTGTCCAGGCATTGCACATTTTGTGTTTCTGATTGTTTATAAATAGTAACGCTAGCCAGCACCGGCTTTATTTTTGTTGATTCCGGTGGAAACGGGTTAGTTCAAGATTTCCAAGTAGTTTGTCGCTTACAATAGTACTAAACCCATTTGTGTTCTGCCAACGACGAGCTCAGCGCATAAGCTGTAGGCCATAGGCTCACATGCTTGAGTACTGAAGCAAGAAGAGCATAGACTTCATCCCACTCGCTGATGGGCAGAATGGCGAAACTAGGCTCTATCCAGTGGCTTAGGAGTAGAGATTTCGGCGGACATCCCAAAGTTTCGAGTGCCTGCAGTCTCAATCTCATGACAGAAACAGGTTCAAAACCGGTCGCAGAGTGCAATGTTCTCCGGTGGACAACACCCCATATAATAATAATAATATTAATAATAATAATAATAATAATAATAATAATAATAAATAATATGTCAGCTGTACGCCGTAACGGCGCTTCGCTGCCGCGCGACTACTATCAGTCGCGCGCGGGCTGGGTATACCGCGAGGACGCCCACCCCTACGAGGATTCGGATCGGTGGCCCTATGGTTGCAAACCAAACGCGCAGACTATTCGGCCACCGGTCGACACCCATATATAGCTGCTTCACCAGTTACAATCCCAGAAATCAAATTGATTAAGGTTCGTTTTAGTGAAAAGTGCGTCGCTATCTGTTCATACACAGTGCTTCAAGATGACTCCTCAAGTAAGATCATATTACTTGTAGTCACCGTGCCAACAGCGCGTTGAATGCAAGAATGTGGTGAAGTTACCACAACAGGCGCAATGCGGGAAGCTTACATAATGGGATAAGCATGCAGCAATAGTGAGTATTGCATGGGTAGGGTTGGGTGTAAAAGTGTCAGAAGAGAAGTATATGAAAAGGAAAAATAGCCTACCAGTTTGTTGTAATTCTTGTCGTCAAGGAGAAAGGATCCGAAATGAGGATTCCGATGTATAAGAAGGTACAACAATAATGTGGTGCTATCCTTTTGAAGCATCCGTGCTGCTGTATCGCGGATAGCGGGGAAATCAATCGGGTAAGCGGCACCGTCTGGATGGTCAACCGATACAACACCTCTTAAGGTAGCCGTGCTTGATCGAGGCCCTGAAGACAAGTGGAACAAGACGCTGAGAATGCAAACTAATCACTTTTCAAAAGTGCTTGTCGAATATAAGGCGCCGCGTGGCTACTGAGGCAGTGAAAATGATACAACAGTTAGTAAACCACGACTGGATTATCTTGAACGTTACCGTGAATAGACAAGTTCGCAAATTAGGGAAAAAGTGCGAAATAAATAACAAATAGTTCCATTATCTGTCAAATACTGTCACAAAGAGCTGTCACGAAAAAAAAGTAGTTTGACATGGCGTTTCAACACTTATGTAATGAAACGGTCGGTTTCAGGAGCGTTGTTTAATCTCAGCAGCGCTGTATCAATGTCTATTAAAATAAGTTTGGTCACGAGATGCTGAAAGAAATGGAGATAGAGCATCACGTTGAAATAAGCAAGCAAATGCCTTTTACAAGGTTATGATCGGTGGATCTGACAATGGAACAACTATGCATTTCTGTTGACTATAGTTCGACTACCCATGATCCTTCCTGGACCCGTATTTCGGAAAAATCGTAATAATAATAATAACAAGTCGTTTGCGTAAACATTGGAATTTAACACTTGAAGCTCGATCAGTTACACACAGTTACCTTATCTAGCGGACACTGAAACTGAACATTCAATGTGCGATCCATAGAGTAGAGATTTCATAAGTGATGTCACTCGGTCACCTCCGGCGAAAAACACCGGCGTAGACTCTATTCGGGAATGCATATTATCAGGAGCAGCCACAACAGAGTCAAACGGCTGATGCGATTAGTTGCTCTACATGGATGCATCAGAGAAAGGATTAAGTAAAACTCCTATGCAAACATGTGGAACAATATGGATGAAACGTCGACACAAAAACACCAAACTGAGCAGAGAAAGTGCAAGACTCAAGCGAGTGTGAAAACAGAGGTAATGGCGGACGGCTTTTGAAGATGGGGAGCAAAAGCGGTCGCTAGAAAGCATCAGAGCCCAAAAATGAAACAAAGTACGACTGATGATGAGTTAGAAAGCTTCCGTGAATGAGTTGGATCTAATCGCACCCAGTGGCATAAAAAGATCAAAAGCGCAAGAAACATCAAGGTGTCAAAATTAATGAATGCAAGTCATGAAATACGCGACTAGAAAGATGTACGTAGCAAAGTCGACAAAAAGTCACCCATAATCTTGGAAATGACCAAGTATGCTAAGAAGAGTCAAGCGATAAAGACTGGAGTCACAAAAATACAATGAGGAAATCGTAAGGAAGAAACCAAGCGAAAGGGGAGCGAATTAAAGGAAAGCATGCAGATGAAGGGAAGAAATGGGACAAAAGAAACACAAGAAGCTCGGGTATAATGCCCATTTATTGTAAGTTTCCGAGAGAAACTCAAGCGGTGATTTTAGAGCAGACAAATGTCATCGATTTATTCGTCATCATGCTCAGTACAGAAATAAACGCGACTGTTTGCTAATGCGGAGGCGGTATGTATAAGATTAACAAATCCGAACCTATGCATCCAGAAGAAACACGTCCAACCGTTACAGCTTCCATGGCCATCATCTAAGCGCGAAGAGTTAGACTTAACCCAGCAATCCCACATGCCATCCATCACATGATCACCAGACGCACAACAAATAAACTAGATTCCAATGTTTTTGACCAGTTGTTACTCTGTGTACCCACAAGTGATTTGTCAGCGTTTTACCGTTTATTTCTGTATTGAGCCTGATGATGAATAAATCGATGATAATTGTCTGTTCTGAAATCACCGCTTGCGTTTCTCTCGGAAACATAAGAAAAATGTTCGAAAGGTGAGGCACCCAATGGGAAGTGCATGGAAGCCAAATAGCGACGGAATGGTAAGATAATGAAGGAAGGATTCCGAGAATAAAACAACCACGTATGTTCCAGAATGAAACCAAAAGGTACGCGAAATCGAATAAAATAAAGTTTATCAATAAAGGCAGCAATCCAAGGTCAAGAGATTCAACAAGCAAAGGATAGTTCGTGAGGAAAGTTATGAAGTGATCGTAAGTGAGTCCGATCTTTCTGAACCTGTAGTGGAAATTCTGCAAGCTGATAAACATGGGAAAGAGGAGAAACACACCTCGATCACAGCCGGGCCCAAGAAAAGCGCTGCCGAACAGGCTAGCGGCAATACAGTAGGTCAACAGTACTTGCAGAAGATTGTCCCTATCCGTTGGCATCACTGAGTGAACACTACTGAAGTTCGCCAGTAGCTGCTTGAAGATAAACCTTCTAGTTCCACACTGGTGTCCACCAAACATGAAGCGCCTACGTGGATTAGGCCATATTCCCTGGATACCAATTGACTATTTATCGCTGCATCTAATTGGATGAGAACGCAAGGTGGCCAATCGGTGACGTGGCTGACGAGCACCAGATCGGCCGCCTCAGGGGTTGAAGGCCTTGGCTAACAAGTTGAAGTCGCGCCCTCATTAGTGCTCTTGTATTCAGTTGCTTCAGCCCTGCAGTTAACAGCCCACCGTGGTCAATTCTACTCTACTCATCCATAACGCTTTTTTTGCATTCCATTCGTGTTCTGCCTCGATTACATGAACGGTGGAAAATATCCATTGGATGAGTAATTCTGGTAAGTACCGGTATCCTGGCGATGCAACTCGTGACAACTGGTTCCACCGAAATTCGATGCCCGGGTCTGGGTTGATTATTTGAAGTTAAATGAATCAGTGGACTGGTTCCTAGAATGTGCTGTTTTAGGCTTATTAAGGAAGATAAGCTGCTGAACAGAATAACAGCTTAGCAATTGTTGTTACGCCCTTTAGTTCTCCGAGGGTGCTTAAGTGGTTGTGAAAATAAAATAGTTGCTCGTGAATTCGGATGCAAGATGGTTAAAAGAGACGAGATGTAGCTAGTCAAGTTCTCGTATTGAGCTGAAGAACTAATCGAAGAAAGTGCCGGCTTGAACCATGTGATATCGCCTGTTGACATAAATGGCATCACCACAGACAACAGGTCGTAATTATCATGATGCTGAGATGACTGTATTTGCTCGCAAAATGGAAATTAAAACCGTGGATAGAAGGACAACGAAGAACATAGTCAGCTGGACCAAGTGTCATACAGAATAAAACACCCATTTATTGAGGTCGTATAAAACGATAGAAACAGAAAAAGTAACATAAGTAAACCGGAGGTTACTGCTGACGCATTGCTGCAACACTACCAATAATGGTTGCACATGGGCTCATTAATTCGTTCGACAAAACACGTTAGCTATAGGAGGAAGACACCTCAGCTACTGTGCTGAAAAACCAAAAAAATATTTAAAAATGAAAAGTAAGCATGCCGGCCGAGTCACCATTAAATATGGGCATCGTTCCGAAGAGCTAACAGCTGACGATTGTGTCGTGAAAAAACTCACACTATGCCTAATAAATGAGATCGTGATTGGAGGGGAGGCTCAGCGGGAGCAACAAGGAAACTCCCAATACAAACGCCATTGAGGTCGGTTTCTAGCCATGTCAGCAAGTGTACTCAGCCAAACGAGTTCATCGTCTTTCGGTCCCCAACTTCGAAGTAAGGGCCTACATTCCTCTCGACCAAGTCATCGCTTATCCACCCCTCCTCTTCTCTCATCCACACCTCCAAGGCGCAAACAACGCACATCGCAGGAGTCGGTGGGCTGGCATATGTAACACCTAACTGAGCCATAGGAGTCTGGTGTGTAAAATAACGGGGCTGAGCGGTTCATTTCCTTTTCCTGTGCCGTAAACTGCAGGCATGATGTTCCCATCAGATATGAGCCAAACTGCGAAGGCACCGGTGGTCGAACTTAACTAGCCTCTTTATGTCCGCTGATCTGAGAGGCCAAATTCTACAACCGTACTGTGGGGTCGAGCGTAGGGCTGCATTGTACACACTACTCTTCAAGGAGAGAATGATGTCGCGCTGGTGCCACAGGTGGCAAAGGTCAGCAAAAGCGCTTCGTTTTTGCTAAGGTTTGTGACCTGGTTTTCAATTCCGACGGCGATGATAAAACTGCCTAGGTAGTTGAACTTTTGAACGACTTCTAGCTGATCCCCATCAAGGGTCAGCGTAGGAGGCGATCAATGCCAATCTTGGAGGAAAGCTTTACAGTTTGAGGGCACGAAGCATAGCCCGAAATGGTTGAGGGCCAGTGCTAATCTGTGCAGTGCAGCTTGGCACGTTTGTGAGCTGTCGCAGATTAGGGCAATATCGTCCGCATACTCCAAGTCAAGAACACGTTCACCTGGGAGCAGCTCCACACCTTCTAAATCGTGTCCAGTATGACTTCCTCAATAGCGAAGTTAAAGAGGAAAAGTGACAGCGGGCATCCTTGTCTTACACCGATGGAGATATTGAAAGGAGGCGACAGATTGCCGTAAGCTCTCACTCTGTCCGAACTAACAAACTGCAAGGTTGTTTAAACCTACATAGGTGCGAACCAGCGACTCATAAAGTACAAATTAAAGGCTTAAATCATCAGACCACCGGCTAGACAAACAACAATACACACATCGCATTCGACTTTCGGAAGGGACACCGAGGAAAGTTGATCGGCAAGAATCTTCAACTCAGGCGACGACGTGTCAGGAGCTATGTAGGTGCTCAAAACCCAAAAACCCAGGATTGCATTCAAGCAAGTCTCACCTTTTCGTGGTATTTGGGCTGGTGAAATGCAAGTTTTTTAGTCACGTCAACTTTGGTGGATGAGGGTGATGACACCTTACTCGTCATTCGCCTAATGGGACGAAGTTAAGAGCTTCATCTCACGCAGCTACAAGTAACCAACATTCGGGTAATAACACGCCTTTAGCTGGGGAACGTAGTCATGAGGTCCGCAATAGTACCACGAGATGATCGAGCATGGCTGAAGGGGATTAGCATGGTTTACATTCTATTGATAAGAAGAGGTGTCCAGAGACGATACCAAAAGTCAACGGAATATGGCGATAGTAAGCACCCTGAAAGTAGTCCAGTTAAAGAAAGTTTTACAATTGCCAGAAAAAATACGATAAATCTACATTAGGCAACTTAAAATGATATTCTAAAGAACATGGCAATAGCCAATCTAAAGGGCCAATTCGTGTCTCCAATTGTCGCACCGCGCTCTTGGAGTTCGGTGATTAATATCATAATTGTGGTGTGAATCAGCGTCTTTCAGTACTAAGCACAGCAGATAACCCGAACATGAGCAACAGTAGTCTTAAGAGTAAATGTTGCAGGTAGTCACTGGTGAACTTAAATATGGATTATGCATCAAAATGTGGATGGGGTACACGAAACAAAGATTGGTTGATAAAGAGAGAAAATTTGACTTACCGGTTACATGATCGTTTTCGGTGGCAGACTTTGGGAAACCTTCGACTTTACGATTAAGGTTTTTTATAGAGAATAAGGCGACCCGATAAGGATTCAGAGGTGGTTGAGAAGTTAGGTTGGATTCTGTTTGAGATTTACAGCATCTAGCGGTATAACTGGCCTGTGCAGTTAAAACCAGCAAGAGAAGAGTGCTAAGATTGGAAAGAGTGCGACATTCGTCAGAAAGAAACAAAGGGGTGGGTGAATCTGAAGTTAACAAATCGTCCATCGGAGGTCCCACGGAGGACTTCGTCGGTTCCGTCGAGATTGATTTGGGGTAGGTGTTACTTTGAGGAAGAGATGAGTATCCTAAAGTAACCACAGTCCACAAGCCACCTAAAAATAGAGGTATAAGAGTGAAAGATAGCTCGGAAAATGCAAACACTATATAAGGCACTGAGCCAGAGGAGAGACTTACCTACCAAAGAGCGAGCGGCCCTCCACACAATGCCGGATTTAGCTGGGTAACCTAAAAATCCTGGTGGCGGTGGCAGATCCTCAGCAAAGTTCCTCAGTAGCCGAGCAACAACAGCAGGAGCCATGGAGGCACTGAAAAGAAGTGGTTAACACAGAGTATTTGATCAAAAAAGTTGATCAGAGAAAACTACACGTAAGAAGCGCATGGAATGTGAAGCGCAAGCGTCTCGAATGTACAAGAAGAAAGAGAATTATGGAAACACCGCAGCAAACACAAACAGTGACATAATCAGGACAAACGAGCCCGAAGAATACAGTAATCTTAAACTCGGTACTCAGGCTGCTGAAATACGTTGGGTTATGGGATGCTAACAAAGAGATCGTGCCTGTCAGTGGAAATCGCAATACAGTGCATCAGACGAAGACGATGAATTAATCCACAAGATAAAAGAGATGCACATAAACATACGAAAATCAAATGTTCATATAGTGGGTTTGATGAAAAAAGAACTCTAAAGGTACTCGATACAGCGATTGGTGCGTAACCAGGCGTGTGAGAAAAAACCGGCTTAGGTAACAATTGAAAAATATAGATGAGGCAATTGACAGGATGTAACGCTAATTAAATTTCAATTGGACCGGTTGGCCAACAATTCTTTGTATGAAACGTCGGAGAAGCAGTTTTCCTGGGGCAAAAACGGTAGAAAGCAGAGGCGTGAAAACTCGAAATAAGCTTTAAATGAGATACCAGTGAATATCACCAGAAAAGAAAATGTGGGTACAGACGAGTTGTCTCTTTTGAGGAAGTCTAGACTATAAAAAGTGACTCGAAAGGTAAAGATCGATTAGCTAGCTGGCAACTGACTAGTACTCTGCATTTTCCGGTGCATTCTAAATTAACAACTGTTATGAAGCTTGATCTCCCGGTTGTGAGATTCAATCACATCCGTTTGTACCAAGCAAGATTGTTGACCACATGTTGTAAAATAGGCTTCTGCGAAATCGGACATAGCCACCAAAATAAAGAATCCTGGTCTGACATTGGTTAGCGGCATTCGGTTCGAGACTTGACTGTCACTGTGCCTCCATAGGACAACCACAGCAGGCCTGCGCCTACAGAGGGACCATGGGTGGCTTGCGCTGAACCATTCACACATCCCATATCCAGTGTAAACCCGAAGGAATAAGACCGGGAGGCATGTGGATGGGAGCCATGATCATCAACGGAACAGGCCCACACTCCTACATAGGCAAACACGAGTACACTGTATTTGGGAATCAACTGCACACAAGGCGGTGGCTGTGCCGTAGTCCGCGCTGAGTACATGGAACCACCCTTCGAGCCTAGCACGGCCATGAGTACCGTGTACTCGTCCCCCCCCCCCCCCCGCAACGACCAACCGTCTCCTGGAGCAGTATGGACGAAGTAGTGGGTAATAGATAGGTAGGCACCTTGTCAACATGCACATGAAGCGCAGCCACACCGGGGATATCAAGCAACAGCCAATCACTTGAAAGAACAATATCAAATAATAGTAATCGAATAAACCACACGGATATACCGGCTTCACTCCGCTAAATGAGCATATGCAACAAATTGGTTATCAACAAACCGCGATAAGTTCAAGATGTCAGAAAAAGATATTTGTTAGAAAATGCTAAAAACGCGAAAAAGTTAACGAAGTTAATGAAAATCCGCTTGAGCGACATGTGTAAGTAAGAAGAAGCCAATTCAGAAAAACATTTAAATGACTTAATAAAGTAAGAATTAACAAAATATAGCAAACCGATCACCTGAACTAAAGAAACTCAGCACGCAAGCACGCTGTTAGTAAAGCGAATGCAGCGTACCTACCAACGCTGTGCCGGTTCGTCGTCATGAGCTTCACAATCAAGAGCAAAGCGCAGTCACAAAACGACTAGCGCTCGGCCAATAACGAGGGAATGAATACAGCTTACAGATTCCGTTAGCTTGAAACCTGCTGTATAAATGGTTTATGGTTGGCGGAATTTGTTTACAGAGCGCAGAAGCTAAAACTGCATTCAACAAAATGTGCAACAACTGGGGTAAAAGTGGGATTCCCCTCAGTTCAACACAAATAATCGCCCATGGAAGGAGCACCAGTAGGATGGACCGAACTGCAGTCATTCGTGGTGCAATGAAAACAAAGGGGAAAATGGAGAAAGTTAACACAAACGGCGAGACATAAATAGAAGATATATCTGTTTAACGAAATGGTAAATTGTAAGGATGTGCGAAAGTGCTATTGAGTTCGGGACGCTTGAAAAGCGCAATCTAATGTGGCATAACAGGTCGCGGGGAAAGCAAACAATCGCAGTATGCCAACGTGAAACTTAGTCAACAGATGGACCACAGCAAGAGTTACACATGAGCACTTGTGGGATGAGGTGTGAGATAGTGAGTCTAAGTCTGAAGGTGTGTACTCTCACACAAAGCTCATCTGACGTAATTGGTGGCAAAAAAAAGACTCATGTGAAAACTCGAGACCTCTGTGTAATTTTCGCCAAACTATTCACAATAGTATAGGTAGAATTTCGTCACATCAAGGCTCACTCAGACAGCCGCCACAAGCCCGGAAAAGCACTGTACGGCTTGTGACGGCTGTCTGAGTGAGCTTAGATGTGACGAAATTCTACCTATACCATTCAACTCCCCCTACTACTCTTCTGTATTCACAATAGGCTTCGCGATTCGACTCGGCGAAAGGTTGAGTTTGCCCCAACAGAGACTACGATGGCCATATTACACACTTGACCAGATGCCGGAGAAAAACGAGATACCTTCGAATGATCTAATGGATGTCAGCGAATCAGTTGATCGCGCCAACCTGCAATGTTGACTAACTTGCAGGAGATAATTTTCCATTGGGGAATTCACATGCCGAAACCTAACAGGTTATGCAAATGCACAAAGGAACTACCGTATGGTTTTACCATGAGTAGTCTAATAAATAAACTCTCATTCTCAGTTAAGTGAGGCACGCCTGCACAGGCATGCTCATGAATCCAGACCATCGTGTTTCCTACTAAGTCGTGATCGGGGCTATAGTATTTCTAAGCAAATGGCGTCCATGGTATGATCAAATGTTTCCTTAAGGAAAACACGTTCCTACATAAAGCCCTCAAGATGGTTCAACGTCAATCCAATCGTATCTAGCGTGCGCACATCCACGCAAGTGCGTTAGGTGACCAATTCCAAGTCAGCCAAAAGCATGTTGTATTTAAACCAAGGAGTGCCAGTATGGTTCTTGAATCCAAGACCACCCACTGCATCGTAGACGTGCAGCGCAGACCGATCGCACTTTAAGAAGTGGTAAGTTGCGGTTATCAGAAACGATGGGCTACCCAAGATAGGAAACACACGTGTGGTAAAATGCAAATGGTACATCTGAGCCTATAGGTGACTATGTGTGCGTAGGCGTCCGTTGAGCTCCTGTGCAGGCACTCAGATACCTGCTCGTTTAGGTAAGATATGGAAATATACCCGGTGGTGACGCGCGCTGTCACCGTTTTTTAGCACCTCATGTGCTACTTAAGATGAGGGCCCGGGTCGTCCTCCTCTTAACGTGTGGTCACTTTGATAGTTCCCGTGGCGGAATTGTACGCTATCAGACGCGTCCTCAGGTTGAGGATGGGGAAATGACCTCCTCGTGGGGGTAGCTGCAAATAAGGCTCACTTGCCTTGCAGGCGACAGGAATAAGCAGCCGCGGAAAATCAGCGGCAGCGTCTCAGAGCGTTGGGAGTACTGGGCTGGTCACCTGGTCCTCCATCAAATACCACAAGAGTTCGTGCGGCGCTGTGTCAAAGCCAATGTGGCCGGTTATAGTGTCAATGACCACTCACTTCTGTAACCAGAGGTGAGTATATAACGGAGAGCGGATGAATAATCTTGCTGGCCACCGGCTTCTCTCGGGACTGCTACTGAACACAAAGAAGGCGAATGAGCCACTCGGATGTCAACGGTTTTCGTCAATCGCCCCGCTGTCTTGCGTGTTAGGTCTCAAGACCAAAGGCTCGGGGTACGGTCTCTTAAGACAACACTTCACCTCAGCCTGGGCAATCGGGAAGATCGCTGCCCGCACAACACGTTAACGTGCTAAAGTTTCCAAACCTTTTCACTGACTATTCCTTTTCCCCCCTTTTTGGTGTCCACTATGTGTTGTGGCATTGCCAATTGTACATTGGTCAGGTGTTGCCCTGACAGTACATCAGTCCAACCACTAAGCATGACAGGTAAAGCTAACAATGATCTCGTGTCGCATCGGCAGTGGCAGGGTGGGAAAAAGGGGTCATCCTATGCGCCGCATGCAGCAGGGTGGAAAAGTGAAAAGATAATAGCGACGGTGCCTCTGTTCTTACCACTATTCCTTCCTCATATTCGGCTCTTTCCAGTTCCTATTTCGTCGTATGACCCGTACCATCTATCACAACAACAATCTCAAACTATAAGCAATTAAGCCACACCGGTGACTACCCAACCAAATCGTATGCCTCCGCAAAAAGCAATCAAGATCAAAAGTTGGAGTGTGAACACAATTCTGTACTGGAATACAAATCAGCGATCTACGCGGCGCACTGTACTGGTTAACATAACAATATAATAATGTGTCAGCTGTGCACCGTAACGACGCTTCACTGCCGCGTGACCATCACAAATCGCGAGTGGGTTGAGTATACCGCGATGACGCCCGCCTCTACGCAGATATTGGTTAACATAGAGCTCGGGTGCAACGGTATCGCCATTGCCGCACTCAAGGAGACTCGATTGGCTGACCAAGACAGGTCACACAAGGATAATGATTGGTACACGTTTTACTGAGTGGGAAACACCACCACAGCACCAAATGAACATGGGGCAGAATTGCATTATCGGACAGTCTAATTGGTCCTTTGGTGGGAGTGCCGACTGGCAGCAGTCTAAGCCTCAGACGTTGTAAGTTTGCCACTTTTATTAGCACGTACGGTCTCAACATGTGTTATCCCGATGATAAAAATAATGAGTTTCATTCTCAGTCGTCCACCATGTCACGGATTTAGCAAGTAGCGGTCGACTGTTCCAATTAAGTGATTTCGACACGCACGTTGTACATGAGTCCACTGTATGCGCAAG